GAGAGGGTCGGGCACGCACCGGAGGTCAGACTCCCCAAGGCATTTTGGGGAACACAGGTCCCCAGGGGCATTTCCAGCCATCTAACACCCCGTTTGCGAGGGAGATGAGCTCAAAAAGCCTTTCTGGCAAACTACCCCGCGCCTGTCTCCTCCTGAGAGCTGTGAACCCTAAACCAGGTTCAACCAGCCGAACCGAAGAGCATCACGACGTCCCCTGTAATCCCCCCAAAACCCAGCACTCCCCGGATGATTCCTGCCCCGCTCCCGCAGAGCCTGGCAGCAACGGTGCACAGCATCTGCCATCGGGATCCCAGTTTGTTGCTCTTTTATCCCACCCGTTATTCCCGAGCTGGCCCTCCCCCAGGCAGCAGCATCACTGCTGGGACCACAACGCGGCACAAGTCTCCCGGGTGCCAGGAACGGCTTTCGGGATGTGCAACGCGGGGTCTCCCGTTGGTGGGAACAACCGGGAACACCATTTCGTGTGTGCCCAGGCTGGTGACCCGTATCGCTGGTTCAGTGAGGACGTACGAAGCAACACGCAGTGTCACTGACCTGTGTCACAGGGACAGAGATTTACAGGACCCACATCTCCCCGGAGCACACCTCGGGGTCCCAGTCACCCCTGCCCCACGCAGACGTCTGCCTCTAGCCATCGCGAGGAATTTGCACAGACGCTGAGTCACAAACATCTCAACGTACGCACTTCTCAGCCTCCGAAACTTCAGTCAAAGGAAACTTTTGTCAAGGAAAGCTCAGCCCAGCCAGTTCCTGCAGAAACCCCGACCATGTGATGGCTTCAAAAGCAACTCCAAAGCCACAAACACAACAACCGCCGGAAGAGCCTGCCTATAATATTCTGGAAATTCTGATTTTCCATAGATATAATGCTCTGTGTCATTTGACAAAAGGTATTTCACCGAGTATTGGAGTGTTAAATCCTCATAGCCTTTAGTATAGAAGAAAAAAAAAAAAAAAAAAAAAAGGACAGAAGGAAACCAACTTTATTTCAGTTCTTAATAAAAGGAGCCAAAGGCTTCGCATGCAGTAGGTGTGATGCTCCCAACTAACAGGTATGTGGAGCAGAGAACGGCAGCTGACCGGAGCTAAAGGAGCTGGTCTTTAGGAGTGACAGACATCCCACCAGCAGCTTAACCTTGGATTCTTGGCAGAGCCAGAGGCATCCGCGAAGAGTCCAAAGCGTGGGGTGCTGACCCACGCCAGGGAGCCAGCTGCTGTGGATCAGCCCCGTGCCCGGGATGTGCCATCTCCTCCCAAACAGCTCCATCTCCACCAAAGCTGCTGAAACGCTGCCTCAGCATCACCACCTAACCAAACGCTTGGTCCTTCTGACCAATTCCTGTGGAGAGGAGGATCGAGAGGGATCTGTGAAAACAAGGAGCTCCGACACTCCGGTCACCCAGGGTATGGCTTTATTGTGTGTTTCTGAACAAAACTGGAGATGTGCAAAGAGTCGACATAGGAACTGTGCTTAAATAACACTGCCGGGGAGGGGGCAGCTCTGGCTTCCTTGGGGTGGGGGCTGAGGCTTGGGCACCAGTCTTTGGCTTCAGAGGACGGCAGGGACAGCGTCTGCGAGAACAAGCTCCGGTATGCGGTACTGACCTGGGTAAAGATCTTTCTCAATAAGCTTCATCTGGAGATGGAAGATCTGCTCCTGGAGTTTACAAATGGTGTGTTTCATTTTCTCCCGTCTCGTCACCATGTAACAGAGATTTCTAACCTACAGAAACACAAAAAAACAGTGTCTGGTTTAGGCAGGGTCCAAACGGGTCCCCTCAAGCTGTGTCGCTGCTTCTGCCTCCCAGGGAAATCCCCGCTCCCCGGGATTCGGTCTTCTTCATCTCACCATCAGCCGTGCCGCACCAAAACTCGTTACCGGGGCACTCTGGATGCACCAGGACTAGAGGTGATGGCTCTTGATCCAAACTGCACAATGTAGATGGGAATAACCACGCAGTGAATGATTCAAAGCCTCAATGTGTCTGTTCTGGCTCTGACAGCCAGGATCCCGTGGGGGGCGAGGAGGGCTGGCCGGCTTCTCCAGCACATGCACTGGGCATACAAAAGCCGTAAGGAAGCAGAGTATCTCCAGAGATACGGCTTTGCTCATCCCAACAGCATGTCCCTCTTGTAGCACCAAGTCTCCCTGCAAAGCCCTGCAGATACCTGGAGCACCCACCCGGAGTGCTGGAGCCTGGAGCACCCACCCCAAAACAGAGCAGCCACCTTGGAAAAACCCAACCACGGCTCCACCAGCCTCTGCCCCGGCACGAAGGACAGCTCGGCCACCACCGCTCCCAGCACTCGGGCCAGCAGCGAGCGGGGAACGTCCGAAGCCCTCCCCACGCAGAGGTCTGAGCAGGGGGATGCACGGAGGGGAGTCTCTCTTGTCCTGTCTTTTTCTGACCATAAACAATAAGCAAGTTAATCTTTCCTTCTCCCATCAAAGGCCTGAATTCACGGGCAGGGTTTGCACTTCGGCATCAGTGCTTTCGAGGGCACAAATCCAGCCCGAGTAACACAGCAGGGAGTCAAACGGGGCCGAGCGCGACACTAATCTGCTCCGATTAGTCAGGATTAACTTTCAGCACTTGTTGCAGCACATCCTTTAACTCTGCTGCTGGTACACATCACCACGCAAAGGGACCGAGACCCACAAAATGGGAACAGAGCCAGGAAAAACAGGTAAATTATTTCGTGATTTTATCCAGGTACAGCAACGGTGCGGACACACAGGCTGGTTTAATCTCCTGTTAATTGTTCACAGACCTACTGAAGAAGTTAATGTCTCTAAAGGATTTGGAAAGTCTTGGAAGGGAAGATGCTGTAGAAGGAGCGTTATAACACGGTTACGCAATGGCCCAGCAGAAGCACACAGCCCTGAGCATCCGAGCGTCGCGCCGAGCCCTCAGCCCAGCATCAGACGTGTGCCTCGTTCACACCTGACACAGAAATTTGCACAAAAATGCCAAATGCTAAGAGGCACTTTGGTCCCCTGGGTCAAGAGGCCAGTTCTCATCCACAAATTGCTCCTTTTGCAGGGAGGGAGAGACCCTCCTCCCACAGCCGCAGCTGGGACGGAGCTGCAGGTACGAGGCGACCGAGCTGCTGAACGTCAGAGCCTTACAAAACTGCCTGCTGCCCTAAAGCAAATGCCAGGACAGAGCACCGAAAATACACCCAAATATCCAGGTGATGCTGGCCCAGGTCAGCAGCCCCGTACCGGTGCGGCTCCCCTGCCCCAAATCTGGCCAGCATCCTCCCCTCCGCAGGGTTACTCGCACTTGCTCCACATCTACCTGCAAATCACCGGCACGTTTTGTCCCAGTACAAGAAATTTTACGAACCAAGCAGGAAGCCCTAAATGCAAATAGCAAAGCACGAGACATAAACGCTCGTGTGAGCGAGCGCAGCAGCGGTTAAACCCTGCTCATCGCACGGCATTGCTGATAAACACCCCCAGACGACAGAGCTACCGTGTGATCCCCGCCGGCATCTGCCTTGCCATGAATTTCCGCGCCACGCTTTTCGCCAGCCCTGCGTAAGGGTGGCTGGAGAGCCGGGCTCTGTCACCATGGCTGCGGCAGGCACCGCGGCTTTCGGAGGAAACGGAGGGTTTTGGCTGTGAAACAGAAAATGCTAATGGCAGCTAACAGGATTTGACAGCGTTTACTCAGCTTCCTGATGCTCTGAAAGAGCAAAACTGCCTGTAATAAGGTGGTGAGGAGGTGGCCTGAAGGGAGACAAGGGCAGTAACGTCCGTGGGTGCGTCACCCCCACGTGTGACCCTGATGCCTCCGATTCCTCCCCCTCCTCGTCCTCAAACCCCTCTCTGCAGAGGAAGGCTGGGGTACTTCCAGGCTCGGGGGACTGTCCCTGCGTGGTCGGGAGCCTTTGTGCCTCTCACAGTGACACACACAGCCAGGACCTCGTCCCACGCTTACCTCACGTCTGCCACCAAAGGCTGTGAAGGCAGCAGGATGACCGTGGCCTAACGGCATCGGTCTTACCTACGGACAATCTGGAAACACTCAGGAATAAGGGAGGAAAAGCTCATCTTTTTTTTTTTTTTTTTTTTTTTTGATGAATCCCCTAGCTGCAAATATAAAGCAGTGAGCTATATGCTGTATATTTTACTACGTTCTCTTTTTTTTATTCTGGATTGGAGAAAACATCAAACTAAAATTTCTTTATGAGGAAAACAACTCCCTCTGGCAACCTGCATCTCAAAGTGTTTGGTGGTATCTCTTCTCTACGATTTGATATTCCTGGAAGAAAACATTACTTGTGCTCTGCTTAGAGACTGCTGGTATTTACACACACTTACACAGCTGAACACCACACAACGCTGCTTCCCCAAGCCAAGCTTAGATGCTGGTACGAAAGCCTGGAAACAACAGCTTTTTGATGAAGCTCATTTAAACAACCAGTCCTTGGAAAAAACTTAAAAAAAAAAAAAAAAAAAAAAGGCAAAGAGGGTTAAAAAAGGCCAAAACCAGGAGGACTGTATTAGGATTCCCAGGCAACAGCTTTAATTTGCTGACACTGTGAAGTGCAGAAATGACAGCAGTTAAGACATGGCAGAGGGAAACGCCATCATCCTGGCTGTCCCTGCATCATCTATCCTGCTGCTTCTGCCTCCCCAATTCTTGGATCCAGATACCATTACCAGCCCCAAAATCACAACCATTCCTGCCAGATTAATTGCTGAAACCACTAACAGGAACATGATGCCCCGTGGACACCCTCTGAAAGCCACCCCTCCAGGCTGCTCTCCTCCCACCCCTATTTGATGGGATGCCTCACTATTTGCAAGCGAAACGGGGCGGCTGGGAGTGGCGCTGACAGACGGGATCAGATACCTGGGATGCACTGGCAGCAATGGGATTTAAACCCGTAGCACCCAGCCGAGCACCGGACTTTGATCCGGCCAGTGTTTATTGTTCCCCCTTTTGGAAGAAGAGCAAACAAACAGCTTTTCCAGGGCCAGGCGGTGAAACCTGGCAGGGAGTTGCTAAGCAGAGGCTGAACGCTGATGGGGAATGACCCCACGAAGCCTGGAGGTAACCCTGGAAAATGAGAAATCTGGTAAAACCCGTAGTTTGGACACAACGAAATCAAAGAGAAGCCGCTGTGCCGCGTCTTTGAATTAGGCAGCTCCTGGAGCAAAGCGCTGTACCCAGGGACGCACAGCGGTTCACTGCAGCCGGGAAAGTCAAGCTGGGAGCAAGTGGAAGCAGAGGGAGGTGGAGCAGCCTGGTTTAGATTTACAATATAGAGAAGCAGATGAGGGGAAAAAAGTGAGCTGAACTTGTCGCCCTCGGATCCGGCAGCTGCAGCCTGTTGCCTACAGCTCAGGGCTGGAGACCCATTAACAGTGGCACCAGCCCAAGAAAGAGGGAAGCACGATGCAGTAAAGGCAAGAGCAAAGCAGAGACAGGCTGGCAGAGCGATGGCAATGATGGATGTAGGGATGAAGGCCAATACGGCCACAGAAAAGAGACCAATAGCTTGAAATTCAATTGGTTTTACACAGGATAAGGGACTCGGGCTCCAAGACCCACACAGGGAACTGCAGCGAGGGACCAGAACGGGCTGGTCCAGAGCTGAAACCCCACCTGGACACGAACACCCTGCTCACCCATACCGCCTTCTCCCCAGGGGTTAAATTGTGCCGCAGATCCACAGCAGCTTGGAGAGAGGGTTCAGGGATAAACAGGGGCAGCACCACTGTTGCCTTCACTGCCCAGGGAACAGCACGTCCCCTGCAGCACACTCTGCCCCCCCTGGCTCGGGGCACCACCTCCACCGGGTCAAAGCAATGCTATTCTCCTGCTTTCCTCCTTTCTTGCCTGTTCCCAGCGACCTCCTGAGCCCTTCCATGGCTTTTGCACTCCGGGTGGGCTGTCAGGAGGGGCTGTGGATTCACCCCTCTGGCAGGAGCAGGAGGGAGGGGACCAGGCAGGACTCAGGTTTTAAGCACAGAACCACAGGCAGCTTGGCCCCT